GAGTTGTTTACAGACAACTAGTTGCGCAACATTTTGAACCGAGAGTTGTCTGTCAAACAACTACCAACTATTGTAGTTGTCCAGGGTGTGGAAGAGTCCATCTACTGCTCTGAGATCGGTTTGGGGAATGTACGCCGGTCGCGCTGCTCTCGTGTGTTTTTTGTTGTTTGTTTGTTTTTCTCCCATCAACGGACTCTGTCGTCTGCCCCTCTGGCCCCTATCCTCCACTTCTTCTAGCTAGACGACCCAACCGGGGTCACATAGGAGGGGGGNATCCCTTCCCTCGTGACTTACGAAGTCGATTATGGTTTACTAACAAACGGGCTTTGCAGTGCGTCGCTTTCATCCTAGACCAGGATTTACTTGGTGAGAAAAAAAGTCTCTCTGCCAGGACTCGAACCCATGACCTGGCCCTTAGCAGTGCGAGCCTACCCACTAGACCACCGGGGCGACCGGTTGGCGTGTAAACCTGGTGTAAACCGATATTTTTTGTTCCTCCGCCATTTTCATTTTTGTTCAGCCGTGCAGCACTGCAGTTGAAGCGCCGCTTCTAGACTATCCATATGAATGTATGCATACAACACCAGCAATATTGATCCTACCACACAACACACCTCGATGTCTTGCCGAGCGTCGACTTCTTCGCCGCTGCCTGTCTCGACTCTTGCCGATAGTCGATCGTCGGATTGTTTTCACCAAACTGCGGACCGCTCCTGTGCGTATGCATATAAAACCAGCAATCAATATTGATTCTACCACACAACACACCTCCGTGTCTTGCCGAGCGTCGACTTCTTCGCCGCTGCCTGCCAAGACGAGACTCTTGCCGATAGTCGATCGTCGGATTGCTTTCACCAAACTGTGGACCGCTCCCGTGTATCCAGAACGAAAAGGGACGGTGGTGATCTTGTGATCACTTAACTACTGCTGTGTGACGTCGCAGGATGAGGAGGTCGTCGTGGAGATGCAGGATGCAGGGGCACGTACAAAACGGCGCCTTCCGAAATCGTGTGCCCGACGCTGAGATTGAGCCTTACCGAACCAGCTAAGCTCTGAAAAGTTGTGTGTGAATCACCTCTGCCCGTGTGTGCGCGATTCCCGTGGTCAGATTTGGTGACGGAGATAGGCAAGGGGGGTTTTCAGCGACCATCTTAGTTTTATATGACTTAATGTATGGAAGAATGCAAAGCCGGAGATGAGGTGGTTTTGTCCCCACCCCGGTGTTTTCATCCGTTTTCTCGCATTTTTAAGCGCTTTTACGAGGGCAATATGGCGCGCTGACGGCAGTAAATGATGTGCGTGGGACATGCACGTTGTTATGCATGAAAATATTGCTTCGATACTCATGCTAATTTTGGTTCAAGTACTAGTCTAATTTAATTTTTTTTCTGAACGTGTACTTTTGACGTTAAAAAACACCCAAAAAACTACAATCCGTTTTCTCCGTTAGATTCCTCGACCACAACGGAACAGCACTGGCGGCACAGCACAGCACAGCACAGCACGCTAACACGGCAATACAACACAATACAACAGCAGCAGCAGCAACAGCAATAACTACGAACGACATGTTGAAAATACATGAATAGATCTACTTCAAAGTAAAGACCAAGACCGACTGTTTTGATCAACTGCTCCAGCAGGAACCAGTTTCTCCTTTCCCGATCTCTCATGTACCTTGCCAACGATCTCGAGGTAGTTCTTTGCCACCATGCAGTCCGGGTACGCTCCTACCCTGCACCTAGAACAATAACACGACGCCTTGCGAACACGGCATGTGTACTTTCTCGTAACCTTTTCGGGGCGCGGGGTTGGTCCGACTACGTCGGGGCCAGGGTTACCGTGTCCATTCCCTGCCGCTACCACGTCTACTCTAGAATCTGCTGGTTCCACCCCTAGGCTACTACTAAGCCTATGGTCCTGGTTCTCCGCCCCCATGAACTGGTACAACTTGGAAGTTCCACGGATACCCGTCAGATCAACACGCGGGCGGCGGATCTGGTTGGCTCCAATCAGCTCTATCTTGAAGTTGGCGATCTTGTAGGGAGACCACTTCCCCAAGCAACCTCCTTCGTCCTCTTCTTTGCTCTTGGCGTATGCTGAAAGAAAGTCGTGCGCGGCGGCGTTGTCGTGGATGCGGAAGCCTCTCTTCTCGGCCTCTTTCATGAGAGCCTTCAGCAGACCCCCGATTCCATCGTGGGCGCCCTTGAAGTGCGAAGTGACAGCGAAGTTGTGCACCAGGAAGACACCAAGCCGGTTCAAGCTCTTCGCTGCGGTACGAAAGTTGCGCTTTCCCTTGTACTGCTTGCCGCACCCATCGGTGAACATGTGCACCGCCGGGACCGGGGTGCCGGCAGCACACGTTCGTCCGTCGCGTCGCTCCTTGTCTTATGTGTAGTCCAGCAGTAGCGCCCCTGTTCCAGAGCTTGCGGCGGGGGGATGGTATGGTCCGCATGGTGCATGCGGACATGCGCCGCGCGGAGCGTTTTCCCCCTCACCCTAAGGTTCTCTGCTCGCTGGGCAAAGCTCACGCCACCCTGCGGCGCAGCGGGAGGGCACCGCTCGGCGGGGTTGCACGGATCGGTAGGGCTGCCGTATACGCAACCCGGCCGATGTTGCTTTGGCTGTTGCCCTGCAACGCGGCCAACGAGGCGGCCATCGCGCGAGTGCTTTCCGCGTGGACTGCGGCTACGCCCTCCAACCCTTTTGCACCCCCAGCATTGCCCTCATCTCCTCCTCCAACACGGGATCCTTCCGCACCATCTCGAGCACACCAGCGCGACGTTTCTCGACCACCTCCAGGCAGTCACAGCAGTGTTTTTGGGGACGGAGGAAGATGTACCACAAAAACGGTTAGGAATTGGAAACGAAATTGATGGCCAGCAAATAGTAGCAGTACAAATATTGTAGATGACAGTCTTCATACTAAAACATGACGTACGCTTCATGAATATACCACGAATGGGTAGTCCTCTGTGTGTGTATTTATTTTTCCTAATACCACACGAACAGATGTGCGAAAAAATACTAGCGGAGGGTGGGGGGAAATATACCACGAATAGAATACTCTTGATTTTTTTTTTGGCGGGAGGAGTAATTTTGGTCAACAACATGAACTCACCGTTAGCTTTCGTGGCGCCTTCGCCGGGCGTGGTGCAGCATCACCCCCTCGTGGCCCGCTGGTGATCACCGCCTGCACAGGATCCGATGCAGCGACTTCAAGGTCCGCGTTGACATGTTGGTATGTCCGTACTTGGGAGGAGAAGACACGCTTTAACTCTCTCTGATTAGGCACCCGCGGGAGCGAGGAAAGGAAGGGAAGAAGTGGCCCTCCCGAATTCGGGGAAGGGGGCCCACACATAGTAGCATTTTTCAGGCATACGCATGCTCCTGTCTACGTACCCCCCCCGTGCTGCTTGCAGATCTACCATGCTCGTATCCCGCGGGTGACACCCCTGCCCGCTTCCTGCGTGACATACCATGGTCCGAGACGCGCCCAGTGCTAGAACAAAACAAAACAAA